GAGAAGGATTGTGGTTTAAGGCCAGTCTGTGGAAATAGTTCTTCAGACCCCATCTCCAACATAATCAGAGCAAAATGAGCTGGAGGTGTGGCTCAAGCATCAGAGTTCCTGTTTTGCAAGGGAAAAACCCTGAGTTCAAACCCCAGTCCTACCCAACAAAAAGAAAAAAAAGAAAGCAATATGGAATTACATACATGAAGTCGTAATTGTACGTGTGGGACTACGGGAAACAGTAAAGGGAGAACTTAGCTTTCTCTGAAGGTCCTTGTTTTTGAAAGAACTAATAGACATACAAATGATAGTTAGAAATTGTCCCGTGATACTCTGAGCTATCAGAGTAATGACTGGATGCAAATAAGGCTAACAGGGATGAGGACTAAGACCACTGGTGACAGTTTCACAGGTGTGAGAGCTAATTTTAGCCGTCAGCTTAGTAGCTATCCCAAGGTTTTTATAGTTAGATAGTTGGTGAAATATCAGAATATTGCTACAAAGGCATTTTCACATGAAATTTTTTGGTGGTTCTGGGAATCAAATCCAGGGCCTTGCACTCTAGGTAAGAGCTCTACCACTGATCTACATCCTCCGCCCTTGTTTTGTGTGTGCGTTTGTTTTGTGTGTGTGTTTTCTTTAATTTTTTTTAATTTTAATTTTTTTATTATTCATATGTGCATACAAGGCTTGGGCCACTTCTCCCCCTTGCCCCCACCCCCTCCCTTACCACCCATTTTGCCTCCTCCCTCTTCCCCCACCCCCTCAATACCCAGCAGAAACTGTTTTGCCCTTATCTCTAATTTTGTTGTAGAGAGAGTATAAGCAATAATAGGAAGGAACAAGGGGTTTTGCTGGTTGAGATAAGGATAGCTATACAGGGCATTGACTCACATTGATTTCCTGTGTGTGGGTGTTACCTTCTAGGTTAATTCTTTTTGATCTAACCTTTTCTCTAGTTCCTGGTCCCCTTTTCCTATTGGCCTCAGTTGCTTTTAAGGTATCTGCTTTAGTTTCTCTGCATTGAGGGCAACAAATGCTAGCTAATTTTTTTGGTGTCTTACCTATCCTCACCCTCCTTGTGTGCTCTCGCTTTTTATCATGTGCTCAAAGTCCAATCCCTTGTTGTGTTTGCCTTGATCTAATGTCCACATATGAGGGAGAACATACATTTTTGGTTTTTGGGCCAGGCTAACCTCACTCAGAATGATGTTCTCCAATTCCATCCATTTCCAGCGAATGATAACATTTCCTTCTTCTCATGGCTGCATAAAATTCCATTGTGTATAGATACCACATTTTCTAATCCATTCGTCAGTGGTGGGGCATCTTGGCTGTTTCCATAACTTGGCTATTGTGAATAGTGCGCAATAAACATGGGTGTGCAGGTGCCTCTGGAGTAACCTGGTCACAGTCTTTTGGGTATATCCCCAAGAGTGGTATTGCGATCAAATGGTAGATCATGTCTAGCTTTTTAAGTAGCTCCAAATTTTTTTCCAGAGTGGTTGTACTAGTTACATTCCCACCAACAGTGTAAGAGGTTCCTTTTTCCCCATCCTCGCCAACACCTTTTTGGTGGTGTTGCTAATGATGGCCTATTCTAACAGGGGTGAGGTGGAATCTTAGTGTGGTTTAATTTGCATTTCCTTTATTGCTAGAGATGGTGAGCATTTTTTCATGTGTTTTTTGGCCATTTGAATTTCTTCTTTTGAGAAAGTTCTGTTTAGTTCACTTGCCCATTTCTTTATTGGTTCATTAGTTTTGGGAGAATTAGTTTTTTAAGTTCCCTATATTCTGGTTATCACGTCCTTCTGATGTATAGTTTGGCAAATATTTTCTCCCACTCTGTGGGTGTTCTCTTCAGTTTAGAGACCATTTCTTTTGATGAACAGAAGCTTTTTAGTTTTATGAGGTTCCCATTTATCTATGCTATCTCTTAGTTGCTGTGCTGCTGGGGTTTCATTGAGAAATTTCTTACCTATACCTACTAACTCCAGGTATTCCTACTCTTTCTTGTATCAACTTTAGAGTTTGTGGTCTGATATTAAGATCCTTGATCCATTTTGAGTAATCTTGGTATAGGGCTGATATACATGGATCTAGTTTCAGTTTTTTGCAGGACTGCTAACCAGTTTTCCCAGCAGTTTTTGTTGAAGAGGCTGCTATTTCTCCACGTATTTTTTTAGCTCCTTTGTCAAAGACAAGCTGGTATATTGTGGGCTTCATACTGGGTCCTTATTCTGTTCCACTGGTTCTTCATGTCTGTTTTTGTGCCAGTACCATGCTTGTTTTTATGAATTTTGTTAATATAGTTTGAAGTCAGGTATTGTGATACCTCCTGCATTGTTCTTTTGACTGAGTATTCCTTGGCTATTCGTGGCCTTTGTTTTCATATAAATTTCACGTAGGATTTTTCAGTCTCTTTAATGGAGTGCATTGGAATTTTGATGGAAATTGCATTAAACAATGTAGATTACTTTTGGGAGTATCGACATTTCTATGTGATTCTACAATTCCTGAGCATGGAATCCTCCACTTTCTATGACTTCCTCAATCTCTTTCTTCAGAAGTGTTATAGTTTTCCTTGTAGAGTCTTTACATCTTTGTTAGGTTTCACCTATGGATTTGATTTTGTTTGAGGCTATGTTAAATGGAAATTGTTTTTCATACATTCTTTTTCGTCTGCTCGCTGTTTAGTGTATAGAACTGGTAATGATTTTTCTATGTTGATTTATATTTCCTCTTACCTTGGTAGTATGATGATGTCTAGAAGCTGAGTAGAGTTTTTTGGTCTTCTAAGGTTATAGATCGATGTCATCTTGCAAATAGGATATTTTGACGTTCTATTAACTTTTATTGCCTTTTATCCTTTCTTCTTGCCTAATTTGCTCTGGCTAGGAATTCCTACTATGTTTGAATAGGAGTGAGGATAGTGGCACCTTGTTCTGGTTCCTGATGAGGAAACTGTTTCAGTTTTTCTCCGTTAGTTAATGGCGGCTGTAGTTTGTATAATATGCTTTTATATGTTGAGGACTTTCCTTATATCCTAGTTTTCTTAGAGCTTGATTCATTAATGGTATTGGATCTTACAAAGGCTTTTTTGCACCTCTTGAGTATGATCAAGTGTTTTGTCTTTGCTTCTGTTAATGGGGTTTATTACGTTTTTTGATTTCGTATGTTGAACCACCCCTGCATTCCTGGATGAGGCCTAACTTGTCTGTGAATAATCTTTTTGATGTGTGTTGAATTCGGTTTGCCTTATTTTAGTGAATTTTTGCATCAATGTTCATTAGGAGATTGGCTTAGTTCTCCTTGAAGTGTCTTTGCCTGGGTGTTGGAAGTTGTTAATACTGGCTCATAAAATGTGTTGGGCAGTTTCCTTCCCTTTCTATTTCGTGAACGGTTTAAGGAGGTTGCGTATCAGCTTCTTCTTTAAAGTCTGATAAGAATTCAGGAGAGAATCCATCAGGTCCTGGAACTTTTCTTTTTGGGGAGACTCTTAATTCTGCTTCAATTTCATTTGTGGTACAATCTATTCAGGTGATTAATTTCTCTGGTTCAGTTTGGATGATCATCTTGTATCTGAATCTGTCCATTTCTTTAGTTTTCAAATTTATTTGATTATAGCGTTCTCAAAGTGTCTCTGATGATTTCCTGGACTTCCATGGTGTTTGTGTTATCTCCCTTTTGCATTCCTAATTCTACTAATTTTGGGTTTTTCTCTCCTCATTTTTAGTCGTTTGCAGGGTCTATCGATCTTGTTTATCTTTTTCAAAGAACCAAACTTTTTGTTACTTATTTTTTAGGTTTTTTTGGTTCTATTTCATTGATTTTCAGCTCTTATTTTTATTATTTCTCTCCTATTTGTTTGGATTGCTTGTTCTTGTTTTCTAGGGAGTATTGAGGTTATCATTAGGTCTGATTTGGATCGTTTCAATCTTTTTAATATATGCATCTATGCTATAACCGTTTCCTCTCAAGGACTGCCTAGCTGTGTCCCATAGGTTCTGTAGTTGTGTTTCATGTTCATTGAACTTCCAGGAACTTTTTATTTCCTCTTTTATTTCATCGATGAACCATCTTCATTAAGTAATGAGTTATCAGTTTCCAGCTGTTTGATGTTTTTTGCCTAACTTTGTTTTGAGTTCACTTTTACTGCAGTGTGATCAGATTAGTGCACAGGATAATTTCTATTTCTATATTGCTGAGACTTGCTTTGTGCCTAGGATATGATCTATTTTTGGAAGAAGGTT